CTGATGAGACTCAGGATCAAACGGCCGTCCAGTGTTTTCAGGTTTCGAATGGTGGTCTAACAATGATTAATTGATGGACATAAGTGTTTTTACACATTTGAAATTATGAATCAATCGTTGTTAGACCACCATTAGAAACCTGGATGGCTATATCTTCCTGGTATGGGACTTACCTGTGGGAGTGCGCATCCAGGACTGCTGCACCTCACAGGATTCGAACTCGGAGACCTTCGGTATTGTGCGCGAACGCCTAACCTCTGGATTGATTGATGACTTCAAATGTGTTAAAAACACGAATCTCCATAACCCTAACTGAAAATATCGTAAAATGTGATCACTGGGGACTAGGTTCGTGAGGAAATTTTTGGAGTTCTAGTGAGAAGACGTGAAGAGTGGAGTTCAGCCCTGTCGGGTGTAGACAGTAACTACTAAAGACAAATGGGTGAGGTGGCGCAAAATCCTTAGATCGATCAAAGTTAGACAATTACACCCTTGAATAAAGGCCCGGTGGTACAGAGGTTAGGCGTTCATGCTCACAACCGAAGGTGACGGGTTCGAATCCTGCGAGGTGTAGGAGTCATGGAAGGCGTTATTATCGGAGTTTCTGCATTACGTTACCACTTGCTTTGTAGCCTGCAAGACGTTTGTTCTTGTTATGCTGGTCAGTTGATCTACTTGAAACTATAACGAGTTCACCTTAGTCGGTAAACGATAGCGAAGACAAATAATCCGGTGATATGATAGGCTACGCTAATCCGAGCGTCCGAAGGCCCTACTAAGTAGAGGAAGATGTCTTGACAAGACGTATAAAGTGTATTCTGCGAGCACTCACAAAACCGAGGTCGACAAGCATACAAATGGAGTTTATTTATGCATGATGGAAATGTCCTTGAGAGAGCCACGGATATAGCGCATTAAAATAACACATCAACCAATGACAGTCAACGATTTTCCGAGTGGGAAATGCAATCTCAAGGTCAACTGATCAGTCAATGATCGAAAATATAAAATCCAAAATTAGAACCTTAATCAAGTGAGTTCTGGGGATCTTATGTCCCCAACAGTTATTGTCAATGCATAAAACGAATATTTATCAACTTCCATTCAGTCTAATTAAAATGATTTCCATTCTTGCTATACTGTTTTACTTACATTACGGGGTTGTGAAGATTGTTAAGTTACACATTTTTGAAACCATGAATCGATCAATGTTAGACCACCAACATTAGAAACCTGGATGCACTGAAAAAATGGCCGTTTCGTCCTGGTATGGGACTCCTCAGCAGTGTGCATCCACGACTCCTGCACCCCGCAGGATTCAAACCCGGGACCTTCGGTCTTGTGCGCGAACGCCTAAACATCGGACCACTGGGCCGATGTCTAACGGTGTTAATGTCTAACTTCCAACTAATCGTTTTCGCCTAGGCACTTCATATTTAATTTCAAAATGTAATTTTTGAAAATATTACAAGGTTATAACCAGTTGATTAGTAGAACTAAACGAAGCAAGAATGAATTGATACTAACCCTATGCCCAACTCTCCACCTTTATTCGCTCTTGGGACTGGCAGTAGTCTCCCAAACGGTCCCCGAGCGGAGTTGTTCTTCATATGGAAGGTTGAAAATACTCACGAAAATGAACACTTTTATTTTATTCTTACTGATAAAATTTTGATTGACAGCAATAAACTTTAAGTGTTTAAAAAAATAAACTATTCATTCTTTATTCATTGTTAAACAGAAAAAATAATGTGTTTCAATTCAGTAGTATCTTCAACACACCACACACACACACACACTGTGATTTAATTTTCTTTCTCTCTGTTGAATTCAATGATCAATGAATTTTATGATTTAATTGCTGACAAGTTACAACATGGCTACAATGTGCGATCAGTGGCAATGCAGAGAGACAAATATCTATCTATAAACAGTAGTTTGTATTACTTTATCGTTTAAGTTAATTTGATTGAAAAAAAGATAGTCGTTTCCACACACTTGTAATTTATTTCTTCTGAGTGCCTAAGTTGAAATTGTTTACGCGCGTTTTACTCTGTCTCACATGTACACACATTCACACACACTCTATCTCTCTCTCTCTGTGTCTATTGATAGGCATATGTATGTACAAGTAAATGATAGATGAGTTAACATGTTGAAGCATGAAATTGACAATTTCGATTTTATGTCACTTTTTTACTAATAAAGAAAAAGGAAAATATTAGATCGTATTGTTTCATTGCAGAGTTATGAAGATAGTTATTGATTATTGAAAGTATGAATCTGGAAGTAGTGGATGGCTGTCAAGTTCTGACATGGCAATCATCAGTGGCAGTGCGCATCCACGACTCCGGCCACTCGCAGGATTCGAATCCGGAACTTCCTTTTCTTGCTGGCGAATGCCTAACCTCTGTACCACAGAGCCATCTTCATCCAAATAGTGATCAATCTGTAGATTTTGTACGACTTCGTGGATGCTCACTATTGATGAGTCCTATAAAAGCACGAAACCGATAGCCAGTGCTTCTAGATTATTGACTCATGATTTCAGTGAATAATGTGTAACGATCAAATGATCAATGCGTATTAGATGATTAAACTTAAGCATCAATGATTTTGTAAAGAATTCCCAATAACAAAGATTATCATGATTACTGAAATGTGAGTTGATCATTGTTAGACCGAACTAGTAGAAACCTGGAAGCACTGAAAGACGGCTGTCTCATCCTATAGTATGGAAGTCATCAGCAATGTGCATTCACGACTCCTACTAGTCGCGGAGTTCTCATTGTGAAATTTAGAACACCACATATGTAAGTGAACAATATTTGTTGTGTAATCAGTTAGATCGTCATCAGGTTGTATACTCTCTAGTATAATTGAATGATTTATATGAAAATGTTAAACTAATCAAGGCAATTAATTCCGAGTGAACATTCACGATGACATAGATTACGTAACTACACATAATACGTAAAGGTGCAAGTTAATATTAGGCAGACAGTTGTACTAGGAGTAGTGCGAAGAAATTATTAAATACAATGACAAAAGATTTTTTTTGTCAACAGTTCAACATCATAAGTAGTAGGTCAAAGAGTAGATACACATTTTTGAAACCATGAATCGATCAATGTTTGACCACCATTAGAAACCTGGAAGCACTGAAAGACGGCCGTTTCGTCCTGGTATGGGACTCCTCAGTAGTGCACATCCACGGGTGTAGACAGACACCTTAAGCAACATTCTGCTGGGTGAGAGAGAACAATCCAAATTCCAGTACAATAATAAATCAGAAAGAAGCAATTGAGTTGCTGGATAGGACATAAATTTTGGATATCACCCAACTGCATAACAAAACAAACCCTCACCTAAAATCCTCAAGGCCAAAGGAAAAGTGAAGACCAGAGAACAAATTAGGTTGAGAATGGGAGATAAACATGAGAAGAATGAACAACAGTTGAACAGAACTAGAAAGCAGGCTCCAGGAGAGAGTAGGTTGAAGAATACTGGTCAGTGCCCTATGCTCTATTAGTGGTAACGGCGAAAGTAAGTAAGTAAATAGTGTATTCCTAAATCCTTAGTCCCGAAAACAAACTTACACCTACTGACATGATATTGTATAGATGAATAAAAGAAAAAGCATCTCTTTGTATTTTTTCGCATGAAATTCATTCAACAATAGTTA